AAAAGCTAGAATTGCCAGGACAATTCACGATCCTTCTAGAAACTCATCACGTGTTACCAACGTCACGTGACTCCCGCTGTAGTAACAATAGGATAGTTTGGATTTCCACTACAGAAGGTGGAAAATCGCTAAACTATCACTTAAGTTGTTTTGGCTGCACGACACACCAATGTGTGTCTTCATAACCCAACACGTAACTCCAGATATATTTCAGCTGATTTTATTTTTAGATTAGCATTTCAGTTTTAAGCCTATAAGTCCGCGTAGATTTTAATTAATTTTATTTTTGGCTTACCATTTCGGTTTTAAGCCTGTAATATTAGGTATATTGTTGTGAGCTATATTTTCAATGTTATAATTTACTTGTTTGCCAGAGTGAGCTGCTAAAGTAAATAATCGTGATAATGGCGCTACAGACGAAGGTTTATAAATAAAAGTAATCAGTTAGTGAGAATTATATTAAGTATTTAGTCAGTTTTTGAAATAAGTGTTAGAAAAATTGTTCGGTGAGATTTATCGCGTCTATTCAGTTACTTGGATTATTAAAGAGGGAATTCTTCAAGTTTATTTGTAAGTTAGGTGTACTTAACGTTAATGAAGGCAATTGTTCTTAAACACTATTATTAGTATTAGCGTATTACTATTAAGCCTACAACAGTACAAGTACGATCGTTATAAGTTATAGAAGTATTTGTTAAAATGTTTTGTATTTGAAGTTAGGCCTACACATAAAAGTAGCTGTAGCAAACGCTAACGAAGAAATAAATTAATTTGTTATTCTTACGTAGATTGGACTTCCCGCTACTATCACCAAATAGTACAGAAGAACCCACCCAACGATATAACACGTTACATTTATACTCACTTACAGCAATAAATTTTGAAGTACAAGTAATCAAAAATGTGTGTGAGAGTTCAGTGAATTTATGAGATTAGTGTCAGAAAAATTGTTCTAGTTTCAGTGTTAAAAATGAGATTTATCGCGTTTTTTACCAAGTAAATTCTGTATGCTTATTTGTGAGTAAGAGTACTTACCA